TCTTGGTGGTTTTCGACATTAGATGGCCTTCAATGGAGGCGTTCAGGTGGCTGAGCCGCGGTTTTGCATGATACACCGTTCTGAACTGGAGATTTCTGTGCGTTTTACCACGCGGCGGTCATGTAAAAGCCTCCAGCTAAAAGAAGGGCGTGGGAGGTTGAGGGGGAAGGGTTGGTATCTTTGAAAATCGGAGGCAAATCATCGCGCGGGTGAAACTCGGTCGACGTGAAATAAGCGTTAATGGAAATGGATTGAAGCAACAGCGACCTTTGCTCCTCGAACAAGCAAAGAAAATCCAACCACTGAGCCGTTTGCGATCCTTCCCTTTGTATCGTTTCAATGTATCATTTCTTTTTTTCCTTCTTTTCTTTCTTCTACGAATTATCGACGGAGTAATGATTGAAATAGAAAAAAAAAAAAAAAAGAGAGAAACAGTCGCTAATAAGTACGTGACACAAAACAGAGATTAAACAATATTTAATGGTACTCGTCGAAATTAGCAACCAACGTAACAGTGAGATTGTTTTCAAATTCATTGTTACAATATCACACGGAATTCACTTGTCACACGAAAACAATGACTTCAAGAGTAGAAGAACGCGAAAGAGACGATAAATGGAAATTTCAAGTCGTTCGCGATTGCAATTAGCGCAATTGAAGTGTTCAATTGTTACTGCGTTTTCAAATTTAGAACCACAAGGAATTAATTTATTTATATTTTGTATGTCCTTTCGTCCGTTTCAAAATTCCCTTGAAAAAGTTGTTTTACGAAACAATGTTCGTAATTGTTCAACGCTCAAGCTCACTTGAGCCCATCGCTACTAATCACCGCAAAGCTACGAATAATTGACGAGCACCGTGGCCATTAATTATGTCTCTCAGCGTAGCGAGCGAAAACGAAACACCCCCGGTGTTTTGAAAAGCAGCGCCGGATATCGCTGGCGTACTTCTGCGCGTTAAACGCGGGCGTAAAAACTATTAATTAACATGGCAGACGCACGAAAAAAGTTACCACACGTCCTGTTTTTCATTCCCCCTTCCCCCTGCCAGCACCTGTTGAAACAAATGTTCAGCAAACCCGGCCGAACCGCGAGGATAACGTTCGATCACACGGCCGCCGCGCAGTTTTGTAACTGGAACGCGCGGGCAATCGCAATCACATTTAACCGCTTTCGAATTCGCTACGAAACCTGTGCTATTAACTCGCCCCAAGCAACGTTTGCTCGCCTATGGCCGAGTTGAAACTTCGCTTTTTGTTTTTCTTTCATAATTCAATTTTACAAACGGGCATGAAATCCATGTTTGCGCGCGCGATACGTTCAAAAAAGACAAGGAGGTGAATGAAAAGAAAAGAAAAGGGAATGATACAAAAAGTGATTCGATCGTAGGATAATAAGTTCATCGATCGATCGGAAATCTTTACGCAAAATAATATGCAATTTTCTATCATTATTTCTATTTTCTTCGTCATACTCTCCATTTATCGATGCAAATATCCGTGGCGGTCCATCCTAATAATAAAAGACTGCGAATATTCACATCAATTTCATATTTTTAGAACCTGATTGAAAGAAAGAAAAGATGGAAGTTTCATCTTAATGACTCAAATTACTGACACTGTGATCTTATAATGTTCGAAATGAAATAATTTTCTATTTCTATCTTGGCAAAGGTACCGCCTGCGTTGCTAGAAAAGTGCCCAAGATATGTTGCAACATCTTCAGTAAATTTGACAAAAATTTGACTCTTGAAACAATAAGCATCTTCAGTATTCTTGATGATACATGTTGATGAATATCCGCAGTCTAACAACGATATCAATTCTCAACGAGTAATTAAACCACAAGAAAGCGACAAAAGCATTTTCGAAAGTTGTATCGACGCGTTCACGGAAAGATTCGCGGGGAGAATGGGAGAGAACGCAGTGATTAAAGGGTCTCGCGGAGGAGAGGGGCCCGTTTTAATAAATAGAGAACTTTTACAACGAAGTTTCGGAAGCGAGACCGGTGTCACATTATTTTTTCGTCTTACAGCTCAGAAAGCTGAACTTTGCTATTGAAATTCCAATTTCTTTTTCTTTTTTTTTCTCTTTCTCTTTCTCTGTCTCTGTCTCTCTCTCTCTCTCTCTCTCTCTCTCTCTCTCTCTCCACCCGCCTCCCACCTTTTTCTCACAGTGGGCCGGGAATTTCTTTTCCTTTGTCATTCGACGATAAATTCAGAAGGGGCTTAGAGCGGCGGTTTAATTAAACTAGTTTAACTGTCATTCCGTTCCTTCAACTTAACTTGTTCCACGCTGCCCGCTCCGAATCGATAACGCGGCTTTCGTTCTACATTTTTATTACCTCTGCGTACGTATTGTGAGCTTTAATATTAATTTCCCGTGACAAAGGAGGGCCTACTCCATTACGTACGGGAAACGACCGAGTATCCAGCTTTATTGGAAATTCTTATCCGACGTTGCGCGCCCCGCCGCCGATAGGACATTCGAAATGAAACTATTCACTGCGATATTAACGCTTTAAATTACATTTCGGTGCTAAGGATACCGGTTAGCTGGTAACATCGACGTTTCTGTTAAAGAAAGAACGTAACTGAAGTGAAGTCAACGAACAGGAAAACGTAGGAAAATTTGTCTACATTTTTTATTTGATCCTCCAATTAACATTCTCCTCCATTCTTTCGGAAACTAACAGTGCATGGATTTATTGGAATTTTTATTAGTGTCTGTCAATAATTTTTTTTTTTCAAGTAATTACTTTTTCTATCTAGATCTAAATTTTAGCCCTATTTTGTATCAATTTCATTTCAACAACGAGATTACAAAATCTAGAGATCAACAAATTTGTACTGACAATGTAGAGTATTCTACTGTTCTACTGTTTGCAAATACATTTTAAAATATGTCGATTCAATTTCAACAGTGTAATTATCATAAATGTCCACTCCCTTTATCAGACCTGACCTAAGTATGTTACCTATAATAAGCTCAATTCAATTTATAATCCAGGTTCAACATCGTCGATTAAAAGTTCTCATATTTACGAGATTCCGACACGGTTCATCTAATACAAAACGAATAATTTCCTTGCGACAGAAGCATAACCTGTCAGCAGTTTCCGAGAATGGTTCTCCTATTCTCGAAAACAAGAATTCACGCATGCAAGACGATTGCATAAAGTGCATTTATAACGTTTCTCGGCTTGTTATTATGTGCAGGAACGCGTTGCTCAATTGCATTGTCAATTAAAAAGTACCGCGGCGCTGCATTCTTTGCTCTCGCGTAGAGCACGCAACGAGAAATTTATTTCAACGGAGAATGTAAATATCATGTTCCTCGGAATGTAATGTCGTTTTGCAACATGGTGAATCTTGCTTTTACGCAGCGGTTTATGTTTAGGAATGCTGCGCGTGATTTTTCGTTCAGTGAATATCCAAAGTGAAACGTGATAATTTTTTTGAAAGCAACAATGTACGATGGTAGCAGATTCTAAAGAATCGGAGAATCCTTTCCTTTAAAAGTGACAAAATTAAGTAAATATCTTGTTTCTCGACTAAAGTATTTATCTTTATTTTATCACCACGATTTTCGTCACCTTTCTTCTAATCTCTTTGTCAATTCTTCTATTATATATTTTGAATTAGTAGTTTAATAGTAGCATATTGAAAAACATTCTTCGACTTTAAGATCAAAGTTGCACGTCATTTAAGAACCTTCGTGAATTTCACTAACCTCTATCAATAGTAATGTAAGATACAAAATAAAATAGATAATCTAATATAAATTATTACGACTCAACAACATTACGCAAGAATTACAAATTCTAAAAAATGTTAACTAATTATAACAAAGTTTCTTTCTCACCACGCAGAAGGGATTCTTTCTACAACGCATGGGGTTGTGGACTTTTGTTTGTTTCAAGGTATTTCAAACGAACTTTTCACAAACTTGCAATTAAAATTTTAACGAGATACACAAACGGTAAGAACATTCTCAAATAGGATATTCGTAAGGATACTCGTTTTTGTAGTTGTAGAGAAATTAGAATATTCGATATAAACACATTTCACGATAAACACATTTTTTTTTTCTACGAAAAGGAAACGATGGCAAAAAATATACCAAATACTTGCTTTTGCCACGTAAACAAGATCAAACGTTGAGAAAACATATTTTCATTGTTTTTCATTCCGAGGGGACTTCGTACAATAATTGACACGAACATACTTAATAAATACAAGGTGTTGAGGAAACTTTCAAACTCAAAATCCAAACTGTGGATTGCATTAACTGCATCAGTTATGCGCTTTTCGATGCCTGACATAACTTGATAATCAATATTGACTTTGGAATTAAGATTTCGCACGGTAACTTTGGCGTAAGTATAATTCCGGAAGCGTATCCAGTATACTTCCAGTCAGCAAAAGTTCGTCGTAATTAATACTCTAACGTAATATCGTTAAAACAGAATGTAAAGTACAATTATCGTAGCAACATTATATTCAACTGTTTAAATATTCTATTACAGACGCAGCGATTTTCTGATTATACTATTTGCTCAAGTTTAAAGATTACACGCTCTTTAACCTTAAAGGAAAGGTGTTCCTTTTTTTTAAACTTTGTGTCGTATGAACGTTATATAATTTCCCAAGAAGTTTGAAACAGTAGCGACAAAACGAATATTAAAAACCACTATCGAGCGAACTTCGAACGAGAGTAATAACGAGGGAAAAAAGCAGATAACAGCTCGTAGCTTTACAAAGTAAAAACCTTCATTGCACGTAATCGTTAACCATTAACGTGAAAGCATTAATCATTAAATATATTGAATCACTGTAACAATTCTAACGTTCGTTATTACACCACTTGATCACCCGATGAATCTACGAACATGAGCCTACCTCTCCCAACATTTTGCTCAGGTGCTAATGCAATCGAGAAATTGGCAAAAGTCGCATCACAGATAAAATATGTAATAATAACGATGTTATGTACAACTCACTCGGCTTATCCAAATCAGATATCTCCAGCTGCGAGTACACCGTGGCAATCCCCAACACGAACACCGTGGTCGTAGTCGCGACACACCACCAGCACCTCCACCACCACATTTTGTCTTCGTTTCGCGCACTCCTGGCACCACACACCCTCGGAACCAACACCCCGACCGACCCGGGGCCGCCCCCCGCGCGCGCTCGCCGCCCTTTCAGCGGTTACCTAGTCTCACGGCCGTCGTGAACCGGCACTAATTGCAGCTGCTGTTGCTGCCGCCGGTGTAGTCGGTGTTCTCCTTCTTGTTGCCGATGTTGCCGCCGCTGCTGCATTGCGCCGCCGTCGTCGTCGTCGTCGACATTCTCTCGACGCCTTTCTGTCCTCCTCGGCGCCTCGGCTACCACCCTCGTCGATCGCCGCTTTTGTCACACGATCGGTGATCTCAACTACGGGCTGATCGATGATTTCCACGCTCGGCCACTCTCGCCGATTCTCGATCCGGCACGTTGCGCGACGAACAGCAAAGACGAGGCAAAGCTAGTCCCCCCTCTAGACGCCGCAAGTCTTTCCCTCCCCCGAGTCTCTTTCTTCCCAATGATTCGACGAACCAATTGATCCTGTAACACACCCCCTCGCCTCCACTCGCTCGTTCCAATTACCGGCGGCGAGAGATCACCCTCCAACGGAGTCTCAATTAATCCACTTGTAACCGAACAAGTTCGGTGGTGTTCGAAGGCGTTCTCGAACGTTGACGATTTCTCGCGCGATCGTTAGGTGAAAAGTTTCCGGCAACTTTCCGAAACTGTTTGCCAAGTTTCGCCGAGTGTCGCGTCGCCGGACTTTAACAAAAAAATCCTCACTGGAAAATGTGCGCAGCTTGTCGATGGCAGCTTGGAATAAATGTTACCCTCTCGTGGAGTTGCGGTTCGAAGTATATTTCACCGTGTTGATAACAAAGATTTGTACGTCGTCGCAGGACACACGAGTTGCGATTCGTGGAATCACCGTCGAGTTTACAATTTTTTCGTGTCCACGTTCAACAGTCGAGTAAATAGGCAGTACGTCGATCGTACAACCGACGAAATTGAAATGCGGCAGTGACGAGATTCAACGAACATTTAATGGAAGAGAGCGGCAGTGTTGGTCCGTACCGGAGCGCGTCGAGTGTGAGACTGAAGGGACAGGTTCGACTCGATGGTGCACGGGAGCATCAACTTCCGACAAACGATGACGACGTTGTCCTCGAGCAGTTATCCAGTCGGGGGGTTACGTCGGACTGCTGGATATTTTTCGCATCGAACAGATTTGGAGGGCGACCCAGGCGATGAGAAAGCGAAACGGGGGTGAGAGCAGGGCGCAGAACAACGATCACGAGCTCGCCGAGAATTCAAAGTTCGAATTGCCGGTTTCGCGAGAATTGGTCGACTTCGAAACAGGTCGAACTGAACCGCAAGTAACGCTCCGGACACGGGTCTAGTTTACTGCACCACTAGCTCCGAATGAACTCGTCGGTTTGCCCCTATCTCACGGCTCGTTACTCGCGCCGCTACTCGAGGGGCGCGTAACACGGAAGGACGTTCGCACGACGGAGGCATCCACCCAGGTTCCCCTTGCGGTCGCCGTGATTAAATCTCCGCGTGTCGATATTAATCAGTCAATGAAATCGTGTCCACGATTCGAAACCACGAGTTGCGAAAATTAATTAAACCAAATCCGCGAGTCTCGCCGAACCTTCGACTTTCGCCAGATTCCACTTACATTCTCTGGATTTTTCGCGATCGAGCGAGCCAGCTGATCGAATCAATCTCGAATTTCGACCCCGTATCCCCCACTTATCGGAGCGCGAGCACGTGTGCTCCAAGTCCTCTTGATGAGATCGTCGAAAGAAGTCACGCACAATCGGAATGTCTCCCACCATGCACGATACCATCACCATTCACCTACGTACGTATATTCACTCTCGCGCGAGGCGGTGTGCGTTTTCTAAAAAAGAAAAAAAGAAAGAAAAAAAAGAAATCGCAGTATCCTTCGTCGTCACTCTGTCGTTGCCATCGATCACGTCGGACAGATCATCGATCGAGAATGACAGACGAGAGAGACGTGACGGGAACTGGCCGCGAGATCACGCTGCCCCGGTGCACGATTTTAATTCATGGATCAGACGTCGCGCCGTGATCGTACTCTCGAAACACGAGTCTACGAGAAATCCCCCACGTGATGGAACCACGTCGAGTCCTGACCCGTGGCGGCTCGGTACTGAAACCATTGAGTAGCGTGAAGGACCACCACGAGTCGGTTCGGATACCTTCGCGGCTACTCGGTGGAGCTCGGGCACGCTCGCGTTATTCTTCTCTGTCGCGCGTACCGGTCTGTCCTCGTGTTCGCCGGCGCGTCCACCTTTTGCTTCTCTCTCTTGATCCCCTACGACTTACGACTCAACTTTCTTCTCTCGCCTCTTCCTCACGCACGCCGCGCGCGTCGCCGCGCCAACAGATCTCGCTATGATTTAGCGGCGGGGGCTAATGAGTCGCCATAATCGCGGCAGCGGTACACAACGGGGCACGCAACGTCTTTCCGAGGATCGGCAAGCTGAATTCGCACGGTCAATTTGCTCGGAAACGCGGAGGAAATCGGATCGAGCAAAGTTTTCAATCACGACGGCAAATTCTTTCGAACGTGTTCCAGTTCAAAGTCGATCGTCAGGATTGAAGAAGTTATTTCAGAGTCACCGTCTATTTGTTATAAATTGTAATCTATCGCGGTATCGAGCTACGTTTCATTTATAATTAAGACACTCTTACAAACTTTTACAAATACGAGAACAGTTTACACATACATTGTGCACAAAGTTAGCTAATCAATCGAGATCATAATTTTTTTGTATGTACAGTTTACAGGAAAGTTTCAGTTGAAATTAGGTGCGATTTTATGTGTAGAAATCATTGATATTGCCACGTAATACTTCGTCGTTGAAAATTTATGAAACTTTCGTGATAAATTCTTCTGACGAAATTTCGAAAATGAGAGAAAATCGCGACAAATCGAACTTTTTAATGGCTCTTTAACTACCAAGAGACGAAATTCCAAGATACGAAATTTACTATGGAACATTTCCCTATAAAGATAGTTTTCTACCCTAAGTAAAGATACAACATGAATAACATACAATTAACAAAGATACGAGTTTCGTCCGCATATTTAGGCAAATTGACCAGTGTGCGCCGGTTGAAAGACAGCTTGGATACATAGATTGAACCATGTTCTCCACGTTGGTTTTTAATAAAGCTGGCAATATAGCCACGGGAACGTCTCTTCGAGAGATACCACGTTCCGGCTGAATCATTTTCCAGACGGGTTTTTATTAGAGGAACGAACGGCGAACGCGAGGCGAGTCGAAATTCTTGAAAATTGCCGCCGTTATATAAGACCCTGTAGCCAGAGGAGGCCACTCCTCGCTTATATTCGACTTTAACTGCCTGCGAAATTAATACGTTTTATGGGCCGGGCGACCGCCGTAATTCTCTCGTCTTCGCAATACCACGCGAATTGGTTTAATATTCATGGTGTTTGGAGGATCGGATCGCTTTGGAGAATCTTCGATAAGCTAGATTATCTGCCATAAAATATTTACGCAGGTAGACCGAGAAAGTGTGGAGTGTTCTGTCGCGTGTTGCTTGTACGCTTCGCTGCCCTTCCGGGAATATACGTCAATTTTGCCGATTAACGTTCGGGAGTCGACCTTTTAGTAGAGATGAAACTTTTGAGCCAGAGACAGTTTGAAAGTTAATATATGTCGATGATTTCGTTTATCTTTTACTATTTGCAAAGTTATCCTGAACTGTTCTGGAAATATTCTTCCGATGAAATGTTTAAAAATGACTTCAGTAGGATGAAAGATGAATTCCGTCTCGTTAACATTTGTTATTTCGTAACAGAATATGCCCAAAATATGTGTAGATTGTAAACTCGCTAATAGACTTACTAATACCAGCAATATCGATCAGATCAGATATTTTCGAAAGTGCTTTTCTAACTTAATTGGCTCAATACATTCTAGAAGATGAAATCGAGTTTCAAGCAAATTTCATAATTTACTTAAATATTTCTTACAACGCAAACAGCTTAGCCGAAATAGCTTGGCAGATTTTGCGCTGCAATAACGTTGAAACTAATAAACAAATAAACAATTCAGAAACAGTCCATGTATTGAATAATCAATACATTTATAAACGATGGAATATTGTAATTATTAATTAATGTAGCGAAAAATATAATTTCACTTGAAGAGAAACAATTAGACTTTTATATCTAGCAATATTCTGTCTCACTGAATATTGTACAAATTAATTATCAAGTTTGCTTTCTAAATATAAATGAAACTGTCAAACTTGCATAAAATATCTTCAACTATTAGTAATCATATAAATAATGCATTGTTGGATACGAAATAACCGAGTTTATAAATTAGTTCACAGTCATGCAGTGTATGATAACTAAAAATTATGACAATCGACATGTCATTGATCTGAAAAGTTATCAACAACGATGGACTAATGATTTCAGTTATAATATTCACAAAATTGTTTTACAATGATTAAACTTTGATCGAAATTTGATTGATATAATTTTCAGAAAAACTCGCAATAAGAGAAACTTTGCATAGAAATTCCTTCACGCTTTATATGTCAATGCTGTGTAGAGAGAATTGTGTAAAAAAATTTTGTTTAAGGAGAACGACAATCTGTCAAACGAGAAAGGATGTCACGATTTTTCAAGCAAACTTTCATTTCCATGTGAAGCAATAAAAAGAACCATCAAGTGTATTTAGCTGTATCATGAATACATAAATCTTATTATGACCTCGTGCTGCTACTCATGTTTGTCTTTATAAACACGGGGTAGAGAGTTATTAGTTTCCATTAATCTCTGTCAGTCTACGTCAAGTCATTGTGCACTGATGATACAGTGATACGAGCCTTAGTTTCATTGTCAGCGATACTACAAATTCGCCATTACGCATACTATTGCGGTTCTTTGGTACTACTGCGTTTATTTTTAACTTTGCCCTTGTTCAAATTGTTTCTCATTTGTTAATTAATATCATATCGACATGTGCAACTGTTTTTTTTTTATTATCGTCAATTTTTTTTATGAAACAATTTATAATTTTCGTAACGTATAAAATCGAAAACGTATTAAAATTATCCAGGATATGCTGACTCAAACTATTATTTAATAATCTCAAGCTTAAAATTAACCAAACAGGACATTAGAACGATGGAAGAAACAATCTATCAAAAATGATCAAGCAAGGATTTTGATTGTAATAACTCTAACTCTGTTTTATAATGATAAAAATTGTATTGTAAAAATATAAAATATAAAAATATAAAAAATATAAAAGTCGACATATTTTTTGATGAATGGACATTTTTTTTAGAATGGTGTAATAAATAAATTATCGAATTCATTTTCATGTAAAGGACGAAATGATTAATTAAATAAATAATGAAGCAACAGTCTTTAATTTTTTTTAAAATAAATATGCTTATGTAACACAGCTTATGTATAAATTGTTTCACGAAAATCCCAAAAGTAGATCGTTTTAAGCCAGAAGGAAGCTAGGAGAAATTACAAAAGATTTTTCGTTTAATATACCCTAAAGAGGTGTTAGCGACATAACGAACTCGCGCATAAGAGTCTCTCTAGTGAAATTCGTTCTCCCTAAATTTACTGGATGGACACTTCACTTTTCTACGCTTTATAAAAGCGCTGCCTCTCTTTCTAAAATTCTCATTCATCACATAGTGCTATCCTGTAAAAAAGATTCAACCCTGTATGCACATGTGACTACCACCAATGCGCTTCAATGTCTACACGCGTTCTCAGGATTCTTAGCTTTCATGTATCACACCTAGCTCCAATAAATTCTTTCGTTCTTAAAATATTAAATAATCAACTATTGAATACTTGCACTGAATAGTTTCTAAATTCTATATATATTTTCAGATTTGTTTCAATTTCCAATCAAAATAATAAGTGATGCATGGTACAATCGTCACAGTATTAATCAAATTTCGAAATAGTTTCATATAATGTGCGTAATATAATCATAAAAAAATTCCCAGTACACGTACATGTGTTTCCATATATATATTTTTAGATTTGTTTCAAATTTGATCGATAGGTGCACTAAAAGTGTTTTATACAACACACGTGCAATATTTTTATAAAAAAGTAATTGCAAAGTATATTACTAAGTTTTTATTAGTATATTACTAAGTATATTACTAACTTATTATTATTAAGTTTATTTATAATCAAAGTTTGGCAACTGTATGCACGTATAATCGTTACAAACCACCACCCATAAAATAGCATATCGTCCTATAAATATTCACCATCCCGGTAAATTATCCTGAACTTTGAATATTTCAATTGAAAATTAAACCGTGCTAACGAATGCCCGGTTAATCTTCGTAACTCCGTGATAATCGTTATCGGCGCAAATCCGTTCGAAAGGAAGTACGCGGGGGTTCGATACACAAAACACATTTCACCGGCATGGCCGATGGTAACTTTGAGCATCGCCCTCCCCCTCGTTTACAGATTTAAGCACGGCCAAGTCGGAACGAGGTTAATGAGCATCACGAAACATATGTTTCGATTGGAACAGTGGAGGGGCGAGAGGACGGGCAGGAGGGAATAGGGGCGGTTGGACGCTTATTTGCGTCATAAACATGTTCATGAAAACTGATAGTTCGTGCATAGGTGGTGCACGCGCGAGATAACACCCCTCGAAACTTCATGACTACGAGAACTCTCGGCGATCACGATAAATTCCGGCTTTCGTGTTTCCGTCGCTATCGGGAATCGCCTGCAAATCACTTCCTAATCCTCATCGAGTAGGTATCTGCGAAGGTACCTTTCCTAAATCCCCTTTGAACGTTTGAGAACATTCCCGGCTTAGTTATGTGTATCGTTGTTTTCCTACCGTTTCCGCGATCCGTAACGCCTAGTTATGGCGCGAGATTTTTTCCTTCTTGGCGATTCACGCGAAACGATTTTTTTGCTCCTCGATGGAGAAACTGCATGAGAATTAAGCGAGCACGCGTGTAGCGTGCAGGTTACTGCGGAGGCACTTTGATACTCTACATAGGAAAGGATAAAATGGAATGGAACGTGGCCATAATTGATGTTAATTCGAACAAATTTATGGAATTTATAGACACTTGCTAGA